ATGAACTGGAGCGCTCAGTCCACCGCGCTGGTTAACTTTTCAGCTGACCAGAAGCACGGTGAATGGGACTAAACAGTTTCGAGAAGTCCCTTACGTCTGAGATTACCGCTATATAAACCATGTGGGTCCAGTTTTGCATACGATCCATTTCAGCAGGAGTTGTGAATTTACGCAAAAATGTGGAAGCCCCATATATTGGGGATCGCGCAGTTAGTTTTAGTGAGTGGCAGTGAGGCAAAGCTTGGATCTTGCACTCATTTGCGCATGGTCTGATTCGGATTTAGTGCAGTTCGGACCCCGCGAAAAAAAACAAGAATACTATCTAGGATGTCCAACAAGCCGACATTAGGATGCAATTCACCGGGGAAGCGATACGGCTGACGTTGGAACACCATGCAATTAAGATTTTTTAGGTGTCCAAGAAGTTGATTTAATCCCTCCGGACTTTCCGGTCGGACTTCGTCCTGTAGGTGCCAAAAACCGAGAAGCGCCGTACAGCTAATTTAGCTTTACTAAGAATCACCAGCAGTACGTTTTCTAGTCTCCATGATAATTCAGACCTGCGACTCGCCACCTAGCAGCTGGAGACTAAACCGTTCGGCCAAGAACAGGTGATGTGACTAATGCGCACCAAGACAAAGCACAACAACACTCAACAGCGGAATTCACATCATATCGTTACGTGTTAACTAGCTCCTCGAGTGACGACCTCTCGGGCGGAAAGTTTACTGGGCGTTTGCGACAAACACTGAACCCTGCGTATGAATTAGCACTCAAACAGCCAGTCAACACGTGCTGAAGTGATGAGAATTCGGTTAGTGAACGATAAGTATGGGCATATCCTGTCTAGGTGTGAGTTACACTGCTGACCAGTCGCTCGTGACCCAACTTTTTCATCTCGAACTGCTAGCCGAGAGGTCATAGGTTTGAATATTGATGAAGGCTGATAAGATGCAGACTGCCAATGACTCCCTATAAAGATAAAGCACATTCACAGTGCTTCTCGGCCTAGTTTGTCATCATCAAGGACAGAACCATCAATGTTGAACACTGATGCTTCACTGCCTTGGTTGACTTCAACTACAGGACGAAATCTTGAATTAAAAATTTCTAAACACCTCATGCTATTCAGCCAAATTTACCACGTGCGATGTCCACTCTGCAATCGTGCGGGCATTATGAAACTCTGGATTGCAACGTACAGAAGAGACCAGTTATCCCAACGACCAACAATAAGTTACAGCCGTTTTAAGATGTTTGACTTGAATCTTGATCACCCAGTTAACTGACTGTCAGAAAGCCTGTCGTTTACTAGGTACATCATAACATGAGCGGAATTTTGCAATTGAGAAGTGGCATGGGATAAATTGGATAGTTATGTACGAGCAACGTGTCCAAATCTACTAAACGTTTGGTGAGGGGGGGGGGCAAAGCTTCAGCATGTGTACAACCAGTTGCGTTTCGTGACAGTAAGGTTTTTGCAACAAGGCCATTGGGTTCTGATGGTTATTCCGTCCGTTCAATTCACTATGGCTGGCTAACTTTCATGCGGTCTTGGGGTTTGGAATCACTGCTTGGCCAACAGCTTTATCAGGTAGATAGCCAAAGTGAGTAAAACTTCCACAGAGTAGAAAAACAGCAGTCCCTTTTGGAGTACTCCAGAAGGGTGCAGAAGACGTCCACTTCTGATTGAGGCGTGCAGTGAACCTTTAATTTCCGAATGCAATTATGTATTCAATAGCCTCCGATCCCGGACGCCGAAAGATCGATTCGTCTCATCTCCATGACATATTACGATCACCCTATGACAAGGTTAACCGATTTCATTCCCAGAGTGAATTAGTAGGCTGACCGAACCGCGAGAACACTCCAAAGTGTATCGATTTTGAGGACAGTTATGTTCGTGCAAGTCACTTTCCAATGAGCTGAGTGAAGACGGTTACAAGAGTGTAATGCTACGTCAGTGGTCATTCACCTGAGTTCAATGAATGGTGAGCGAACAATGGACTTGGATTCGTGTTTCGTGAACGTTGTCGACAGAATGCCCAGAGTGAAACGAAGTAAGCTATTCTAGTGCAAATTTAAGAACATACGAAAGTTGCAATGTACTCGTTTCTGATCACTGGTACCCGGTTCCAAATCTGAACAGTTTACTATTACTGGAACTAACCATGTCTTATTTCCTTCTTATTAGGTACGAGGATTTAATTAAAACGACCGACCAAGACGAATTCTCAAAAAGCATGTTTATTCAAAGGAACCTGCAGCGATTTTCGTTCATTCTGTTGACCAAGAACCCGTTCCCCGGAGAGAATCTATTGCAACTGTTTATTCCAGTTTGGGTCGAGTCGTGAAAATCCTAAGTGTTTGGAAACGCTCAAAGCGATACTGTAATTAACATTTCCTGTTGTTGCACCCAGATATTTCTATTACCGTCCACTGGAAATTGTTCTCCATGCCAAACTCGGAAATAAGGCGAGAGGCGGGCAACGTATGGCTTAGCAGAAAGGGTGACGTAAAACCGGTTTGCTGTAGGGGCCACCAGATTTTCGGATCACTCGTGCGCGACCGAAATGCTTACTTCTTACTTCGACCAACTGCAGCACTCTACCGGTGCTTATTCGCTGTTTTGCAAACGTTTCATCATTTATTGTTAAATCACTTTCTTCCGGTTTCAGCTCTGTGCCAGTTTTGGATAAGTAAAGCCTAGCTTCCGGATCCTCAGTCTTTTCTATTCTTATTCTGATTGTCGCTGCACTCCAACCTCGTCGAACACAATTTATTCATCCAAAAAGTTTTCTTTGAACTATGGATCGATTCTTACGTCCTGAACGATCCGATACCGACCCCAATACTCAAGACTCAGCAGATACCTGGGAGCATTGGTCTTGTACTTTCATAAAGTTTCTAGAGTCAATTGGTTCTTATTCACCAGATAAACTGAAATCCTTGCTTAATTACGTTTCCCCTAGTGTTTTCCGATTCATCGAAGACTGCAAGTACTATGAATAAGCCATCAAAACCTTGCGAGAAATTTACGTATAGCCGAAAAATGAAGTTTTCGCCCGGCATCTTTTGAACACTTGTAAGCAGGACGGAGCTCAGAATCTTGATCAGTTTATGCCCAGACTGCCGCTTTACAGGCGGCAGTGCAGAACGACATATCGACGAAGCGTTACGAGACGCATTCATTAGTGGAGGCATATCGACGAAGCGTTAGGAGACGCATTTATTAGTGGACTTTATTCCAGTACTATATGCCAGAGACTGCTGGAACATAAGACTGCATACGACCATGAAAAGCCCCTCGAACTAGCGCAAAAACAGTCGTTGTCGTTCTTGCTGAACACTCCCCTGTGCTACCGTATCGATAAAGAAAAGATGAAGCGTTCAGCTGTAGCACCCCTCCGGTGCCTAGCTAGCTTGCCACCCGAAGGGAGCACGAGGGCTGGGATACTGCCAGGTTGCCCAAGCCTAGACAGGGGAAGTCGAGTGGCGGAGGTCGGATTCGAACCGCGGACCTTCA